AAGTTTATTTGTTTTTATGCTTACTCATATATTACGTGCGTTTTTATACAACGTACATACATACATACATACATGTTAACTTGTTGAGTAATGAAAATGTGAGTATTATGCTTTTCTGCAAAGTTTATGTAACAGAATAATAATATTATTGTTATACATATATAAAAATATTATAGGTAAATATTTTTGTGTTATATGTCAAATAAACACATTTGCCTATCATTGCGAACAATATTTATTCAATTTGCCAAGGTAAGCACCTGAATGCCCAAGGCAGTGCGAGTAAACGCAGTGCGAACTTATGTGTATGTGTATTTATGTGCACTAAAAGAAGAAGTCACAGTATCTGCTAGTCGAGCAATTCCAACTAGAACTGACTTGTAGTAACTGTGAACCTTTTTTTATTTATTTAATAAACTTAACCTTTTTTTGTATTCTATTTAAAAGTGGTTCATATCTTATCATGTTTCCATTGTATTTTCAAACAAACAATGTCCGTAAGTTGACTTAGCACAGACTGCAAAAGGGCATCAAATTTACGTTATACCAACAGAAACTTTTCAAATTGTCCCAATCTCCATTTACATAACTAAATAATGTATGTGCATAAATATATATGTATATTATAAATATGCATATAAGTATGCCACACATATACATACATATGTGTGTATGTGGATTCAAATGTGTGTGCTTCGTTTTTGAAAAGGGCTACCAAATTTGATGCTGTCGAATGGAAATGGCGAACAAAACTCATTAGCAAATATTTGACCTTAAAAAGCTGACGACAACAACAACAGCAGCAGCAACAACGTCAATACTAACAAGGTCTACACCAACAGCAGCAGCAACAACAACACGCACAACGAAAAATTCACTTAACACTTGGCCACAAAAGTTTTGCGGGTTGGCAATGAGTCCAGGGAATAGCCGCAAAGCCCAAAGGTCGCACTGCAGTGAAGTTTGGCGAATCGTTTATAAATCGTTTTGGCTGCCGGCAGCGTTAGCATCAGCATCAGCATCAGCATTCAGCATTCAGCTGCCCAGCCAGCCAAGTGGTACAGGTGGTGCAGGTGGCGCCATTGGCGCAGGTGACGCAGGTGCTGGCAACCGCAGAGGATTTTGTACAGCTCGGCCGAGGCAGAGCAACAGAAACGTAGAAAGCTTTACGAGGGCTGCGGCACACATCCGGCACACGACTAGGGCTGCAGCATTTGCAGCTGCTATCGCAAACAAAATTGTAGCAAAAGGTTAATAATTTGCAATATCCGCTGCATACAGCGCCACTTCCTGTTTCCGTTGTCCAGGCTAGAGCCAGCCACAAAACAATGATCCCAACAGCACACACACATACGCATAGAGAGAGATATTCACACACACACACACACACCTATACATTGACTCCTGCTCCCGCTCTCAAACAAAATCAGACAATTTTAATCCGGCTTTGATTGCAAAGCCCAATAATCACACACACATACACCCACACACTTTGCCTGTCTCTCACGCACACACACTTAAACACATCGCATAAATTTAACAAGCAGCGAGCGCGTTTATAATTTTGGCTTATTGTCTAAGCGAAATGAGTAAATTTGTGGTAGGTCCGCAGCACACGCAAAGCAACTTTGTGAACGTCCCGAAGGTCCTTGCTGTTAGATTTTTCAACTTTTCAATTTTTCATGTTTCACCGTCGGCAAATTTGCTGTCGCTTGAAAAGCCGAAAAACTTCAGGATTTCAGCAAAGAAATTTTGACATACAAACATTGGTGCGTGAGCGTTTGCATAGAACATGTTTGAGAGAGACTAGACAATAACATACATGTTTGAGAGAGCCTAGTCAACAGTTCAGAGAGAGCGAGAGAGAGAGAGCGTGGATAACATTCCTGTGAGAGTAACATAATGTTAAGTGATGTTGCAGGAGCAGCAGCCAACACGTTCGATTCGAACAGGACCTGAACAACAGCGAAGGAGTAACACAAGTTCGTCTAAGTTTCATGTAGAAGAGTATTTCCCTGTTTAGAAAATGGGAAATAACTTGGTATGTTCGACTAACAACGTAATTATACGAATTTATCATCGTGTGCGGTATTTGTTATTGTCGGCATCCCAGCTGTGGCGCACGTGCTACGACAGCGATGCAACAAGTTTGAAGTACCAAATGTTATGTTATGCATACTTTTACATCTTTGGGTAACTGTGTAACAGCTTTATAAACTCGCGCTGCCTCTCTCTATCTCTTTCCTTCTATTTTCTTAATCGTAGCTATTGAAAGGATTCCGTTCAGCATGAAATTGCTTTAACAGATTGATGTTACAATTTAAAAATTTTTCGGCGGATGCTTTAAGCCGACCAACCGCAACGGGTGACGGGACTTGGCAGTGGATCTCGGTCTTCGCTAGAACAACATCAACACGGCTTTTGTTGTCGGGGGACAATGTCTGGGGCTGGCACAACAGCAACACTAACGCAACAAAAACAATGCCAGCACCGAACACACTTACAACAACAACAACAACAAAGGGAATAACAACAACGTGAATAGCAGCAGGATAGCAAAAGCTGCTATGAGCTGGAGTGACTAGGCTAGAGTGAGATAGCTCGAGAGAGCTGGAGACGCGGAACGGCGAAGGAGCGAGAGAGCGGGCGGTGGCTCTAGTACTCAAAGTAGGCTTCATTCTAACACTTAACATGTTAAAATTACATTCGCCGCTGTTATTACAGTTTTCAGCTTTTTTTTTTTGTTGTTCCTTGTTTTGCTCGTTAAATGTCAAGCAGAAGTTGAGAGAAAGTCAATGACCGACAACCCTTACGGGAGAGCAAAATGAAAACAAAATGCAATAACAATAGCAAAAGTTTGTTTTTGGAGTTGAATGAGCGCACTTAGTTAGTGCACGAAGGGTTAGGGTTTGCCGTAGTTTGTTTTTGTTCTCTCCGATGTTTCTCGCTTGGTGTTGAAAACAAACTCCGTTATTCCGTAGGCGTGTTGACAACTTGCCAAACAATGCGAAATGAGCAAGGCGAAACGAGAGATGAATTGCATGAGGGAGCAAATAAGCTCTGATTAAATTAAGAATCCCAATTTAAATTTGTAATGCGATGCAGCACGTGTAAACGCCTGAGCAGCACTGTTAAGCTTATGTATGTTAAGTATGTATGTTAAGTGTATATATGTATAAGTATGTGTGTATATGTTTTTCGTTTTGATTTCGCTTAACGCCTAATTAAATGAGAAGCCTATGTAAATCGCGATTAGAATGCATATTATCTTATGCTATTTCTTCCCAATATTAGAGCAAAGCTCAATTTGCATTTGCGAACTGTGTGAGAAATTAAATTATTTATTTACCTGAAGCGAATGCAAATTTGATAAAAAAATAAAAATAAAAAATAAACAAAACATAAAAAAGCACAGGTCCTGTGAAAACAGCAGTTGCCTGCCAATGCTGGGAGCGTGGGGCGCTTGGCGTTTGGCGAATAGTATGAGAACGAACACAATAGTAAAGCGGTGTAAAATCAAGAAACAGTTACGTACACAGCTCTGACGGTTGCCCGCCAACCAAACTCCATTCCCACTCGGGGAATCCAGGCTTTGCCCACCTTTAAAGGGGCCGGCGGAGGCGGAGGCGGTGACGTGGGGGCTGGGGCGGCCGCATCGTAAAATCGCAGAGATCCAACCGCACTCAAAGAAATTATGCGAAAACAAAAATGTAGAGCTTGGCGGTGGCTCGGCAGGTGGGACACGAGAAAAGTGTGGAATATCGCAAACAAAACGGAACAGGCAACAAAATGGCAATACACCCATACACACTCACCCAGCCACACGCAAACACACACTCACACGCAGACCCATACCCTTGCTGGGTAAACATAAAAGCGACGCGAGCTGCTAGCGAGCGAATAAGCAAACAGCCTTAATAAAAATTTCATTTCCTTAATCAAATGCATTATCAAATTACAAAAACAACAACAACAATAGCAGCAGCGGCAGCAGTAGTAGTAGCAATGTAGGCGTGTGGGCGTGCTGAAATGATGTGCAGCCACAAGAGGCAGCATAAAAAGAATTTTGTTACCCTTCAGTTCAGTCAGCTCTGTCAGCGCTTAACTTCATCACAAAGCCAACTTCAATCGGTATTGGAGCACAGCGCACACCTCATTTCGGGTGCACACACGCATACACACACACACACACATACGAAGCTGAAATTGTCAAGCGAAAGTTGAGATTGAACTAAAGTAGTAGCATAAAAAAGCGTATAAGCCATCAGATACCCAACAATTATCAAGATAAGGTCTTTGAAACGATTTAAAGCAGCTGAGATTATCTGAAAAAATACTAAAATACTTATCAAAGCATAGGCGGTTCTATGCACAATGTTTTGCAATCTTCAATAACAGCAATTGTTATTACACATCTATTATTAACGCTTGAGCCTAAACAGAACACCCCATTAACATTTAGCAGCGATGGCAAGCGCATCGCATACATAAATATATGTGTAGGTGTATGTGCGTGTGGGTGTGCTTGTAATGTGTTTGTATGAGAGCCACTTGCTGCTGAGTGTTTGAGTAAAGAGTAAAGTAGAAGAGCCAACGGCTGCAATTTGAACCACACTTTCAGCTTAAGCTGAGTAACAGAGCGGAGAGTTTAATATGCCGATCACGAAAGTATGTAAAAGAGAAGAGACAGCAGTATAAATAAAGCTGCCCACTACGAATACATTTTAACTAAGCCTTTGAAGAGCAGTGCAGCGCTGCTGTTCTCTTCTGTTGTTTACGTATGTGCGTTTGTGTTGGTGAGAAAAACAGAGCTGAAGATCCTGCATTTACATGCATACATATGCGAGCGCAATCAGAAGAGCGAGCAAATACGTTTTAGTTGAGTCTGTGAGAGCGGAGTGTGATGTACATCGAGATCATACATGCATGATCGCATAACTAGAGCCAAAGCGGTATAAATAAAGCTGCACATTGGAATTGGATTTTAGTTGGACTTGTGAAATTGTGTGGTGCGGATGGAGTGATGGTGGGACAAAAGAAAATGGAGGATGTAAAGTATAAATGGAGGAAGCAGGGTATAAAAGGAGGATGCAGACTATAAAAGAAAATACCTAGGGATTTTCAATATCAATTGAACTGACAAGCGAGGTAAGTAAAATTATTTTATTTAATTTTATATTTTAATATATAAATTTTTCTGAATAAACATTAACATAATTCTATATATATTTGTCGAAAATATATATTGTTTATGTATAATTTTCTTTTTCTATTACTCATATATTGTTTTAAAATTGAAAAATTATTTCATATATATTTTTCCTGATTATTTTACTCTGATTTTAATATTATTTTTGCCCTTACATTAATGTTGTCTGTCTTTCTGGTAGGCCTTGCTATAGTTCCTTTAATAGGAACAATTGGGCCAATGTTCTATACAAACAAATACATGCGATGCACATTTCGTTTATAAGCTGAAAAATCAATGATTGCATTTGCATTTTGTTAGATTTCTGTAGTTCTGGAATTATGCCAACGTCTGGCGCGTCCTTCTACTTTTGCTGCTGCCGTCGGTGCTGTTGTTGTTGTTTGTACTATTGGGGTTATTGCTTGTTGCTGTTGCTACCGGAAACACGGCCAAGAAGGCGGAGCAGGCAGCAGCAGGCAGCAGCAGCAGGTTCTCCTGGTAGTTGGCAACTGCAAAGTCCTTTGGCATGGTGAGGAAATTAGAAATGGAAATTATTATCGTAATTCGTAATGTTCTTGTAGCTGTTGTTGTTGTTGCTTTTGCAATTTCTGCTATCGCTGCTGTCATGTAATTGCACAGCAACACAACAACCCGCCGAACACCAGACTTAACCGCTCTAATCGTTGTAATTGTTGCTGTCGATGAGCATCGACTGCGCTCCCAAGTATATTATTAAGCAATGCAATGCCTGAGCCCGCTTCAATGTTTAGATTAGCCAACTAATTTCGCTGCGATTAAAACTTTGAATCAAAGAAGAAATTAGTAAATAGTTTATTTCATGAAAAATATAATGAGCTTAACAAAAGTGATAAGTCGCAGTGTGACTGACATTGAAATGATTCTTTCTTAGTTTACAGCTAATTTGCATCTATTGCTTCTATGCCAAGCATATCTCCGAGTTCGATTACAATTCCTATAATTTCGTTAGACTATAATAATAAAACGGAGCCGCTACCAATATACAATTCCAGATTCAGCAAAATTGGCGTCCAGCTCAAACACTGCATAGAGTAACATGTAAGTGGATATCCTGTAGGAGTCCTCTAGCCGCAAGACTAACCAGTTAGACAAACAATTATTCTCGACAAGCGGCATAGCTGTACCCAGTCAATAACTTGAATTTTTTAAGTGCGCTCCTCCTCCTCCTCCTCCTCTACGTGTGGCTGACACTACTCAGGACTCAATGCGACTCAAGGGCCGTGCACATGGCGCTATAAGTCTTGAGCCCTCTCTTCTTTTTTGAAATTTCAAATGTCCCCAAATTCTGACAAGTAAATGTGATAAAAAAAAAAGAAAAAATTAACATTTCTATCCTTCTGTTGTTGTTCAGTAAACTGTCAGTTCGAACTTCAAACTTGAACTTTTTTTTTTTTGCTAACAACACTGAAAATATCTAAATATCGCTACTGGAACTATCGATGCAGCTATGTATATCAAAGCTTCTTCTCACTTTATTCCAATACTGTCTATATATTATGTTAATTACTTATTAAGATCTGCTATAGCATATAGTGTATGTATTAACACCAAGAACTGTCTGACATCTAGTGTTGCATCGCACTCCTATCGATAGTCTGGGCCAAAGCACAACTTGATTCGTCTAGCAGTCCTTGACTTTCATAGCTGCTAAATATTTTGTCAGAAGCTCAAATTCACTTCAAGCAGCAACATCTCGTCTTCAAATAGTATTTTATTTCTTTTTTCTTGAAATGGTAATTTAATTAACTTTTATTGCTAATATCAATTTTTCCCCAATCTGTTTTTCGTTTCCTGCAGGAGCCGTATAATCTACCGAAGCCTAGCATTAAGATGCCGACTCGAGTGCAGCCGGAAGTGATGCCGGAGCCAGGTGAAGCTGGCATGTACACCAATAAAATACACTATTTGCGGAAGTATCTGCTCGACGAGCTGGTCACTAAGAAGTTTGCCATGGACTTCATGGAGCCCGTGGACACAGCGATACTGCAGGTGCCCAACTACTACACCGTCATAAAGCGCCCGATGGACGTGGGCACGATTATCAAGCGGGTGCAGAATCGCTACTATCATCGCGTGGACGATCTGATCAGTGACTTCCAATTGGTCATTAGCAACTGCTTCACGTTCAATCGCCCGGGGGATGTGGTTTACCGCAACTGTCAGAAGCTGGAGAAGTTCTTTCATCGCGTGCTCAATAAGATGCCCAAGGGCGAGGAGAAGCCCAGCACCAAGGATCCGCGTGCCCCCGGCCGACAGCATGGCTACGAGAAGGCATCGGAAATTGTGCAGCGGCAGTGCCAGGAGCATCTGGCCAAGCTGCATATAGCTATCTCCAAGGAGGATGACCCGAGCATCTGCAAATACTTTAGGGCTAAGTTCGATTGCCTGTCGCAGAAAGTGGACAGATTCTACTTCAAGACCATCGAGGAGTTTCGCTTTGAAGTGACGGGCATCTTCAAGAACTTCGACAACCACATTAGGACGTTCCACGAGCTCTTCCACAGGACCTGTGATCAGGACACACAACAGTACTTGGCGAGCTGCAAGTGGTCTCGCGAGCTCGATGGCAATAAGTCGGCGGCCGCGGCCGACTCGAATTTAAAAATGGACAAACGCGATATAACCGAGGTGCTCCATGCACTCAAGAGAGCTGAGAGCAGCGTGGAGCACTGCATCAAGTCTTACACCAAGGATAAGGCAAACCGTGCCAAGGGCCTGATCAACGCGTTCGAAGCCACCGCCGACAAACTCAAAGCGAAGCTATCGACGGGACGCAAGGTTGAAACAACTAGAGACGATAGAAGGAGGGAAGCACAAATATTTTACAATAAACTCCCAGATGAGAGCAGTGAGGAGGAGTCATCCGAGCAGTCCGAAGATGAGGATGAGCCCATGGAAGAAGAAAATTCGGCAATACAAGTTTTTAAAAACGATTGTGCCAGCATGGATGCAGATTCAGATTCAGATGCAGATCCAGATGGAGATGGAGATAGAGATAGAAATACAGGTGCAAATGCAGATGGGGAATCTGATGCAGATTCTGATGCAGAAGCAGAAGCAGATGCAAATGATGAATCAGTTTCAGATGCGGATGATGAATCAGATGCAGATGCTAAAGCTGCTGCAGCAGTGGGTGTAGATGCTAATGCTAATGCAGCTAAGGCTGTAGATGCAGAGGAAGATGAAGAATCAGATTCTGAAACAGATGTAGAATCTTCTACAGATACAGATGATGAATCGGATGCAGATGCTGGTGCAGCTGCAGTTGCAGTTGCACAAACTGATGCTAATGCAGTTAAGGACTTTGATGCTGCTGAAGGAGCAGCTGCAGCTGCCATTCCCACTCCCGCGCCCACTACCACTCCAGCTCCCACTGCCACTCCCACTGCCACTCCCACTCCCACTACCACTACCACTTCAAATGAAACTGCTTTAAAAGCGACCAATTCAACGCTCTGGTCTGACCTACAACTGACCAGCAGCGAAGACAGCGAAGATAGCGCAGAAAGTGCCGAAAGTAACTGAGGGGAATCATCGTAGTTGCCTCGGAGTCAGATTTCACTTGTCCGACAAATACATGAATATAATAATTATACATCATTATAGATATCAGCTTTAGCACAAATTTGAATACTTACCTAGCAACTCACATGGCGCAGTGCAGCAGCTGCAAAGTTGTGGCTCGTTCGAGGGCAATGACACCGACACAGCCAATAAATGGAACACCTTTTTGATGGGGCGACCCATCGACGTCAAAGGCGCCCAAATGTAGGCAATGTGCGAACTTTACCAATCGATAAAAGTTTCAACTTCACGTGCAACACCCACCCGCTGCTCCAAGTTTCCGCCTTGTTAGTGGGCAAGTTATTTGCCCCAGCCTGCTTGTGTGTAGATAAGGCTTAGCGGCTGCTACCTGGTCCACCCTAAAAAAAACACCCAAAGGCCCTCGAATGCAAATGTCCAGTTTTGTTTCCCACTCAAAATACGTTTAATTGCGGGATATCTGCCGACTCAGCCTGTTAGCTGCACATAAGGAAAAACGAATTGAAAAAAGAAAATGGAAAATGGAAATTCATTGATTTTCATTTTGGCGAAGGCAGCAAATATATCAAATATAAATAAATACAAGGTCAGATACCCATTGCTGCAGCTGCAAACTTAGAAATTGTTTATTCAAGAATAAAAACTCTCTTGAGTTCCATCTCAACTGTTACACACATCCATACAAACTGAGTATACCCGTTTCGTGTGCACAAAACATCAAATTACCTAAATAGCACTTCAATTTGAATGTAGCATAAGTTGACGCGGCTCCTTACGCATCCGCTTCGACTTGGACTCCTGCTGGATGCTGCCTAATTTATTTCATTTGTATTCATTCGGGCCCAGACAAACAGCAAATTTATTCAGACACCTGCCCCGACGCGAATCTAAAATACAATTAGAATAAAATCAAAACTCCAATTACACGTAAATATTTTACATTTAAATGAAAAATAAAACTCTCATGATGCACACAAAAAAAAACGAAAATAAAGCAGACTTTAATAAATTATTTTGTTTATGTATAGGATTTTTTATTATATTTATTCTTATTTTTATACACAAATTATTATTTTTATCTGAGCATTACATTTTTAGAGCGCTAGTTTAAGGAAATATCCAAAATCTCTAATAACATTCAAATTTCATTTGGCGAAACATTTAAATTTCGCGCCAAGCACTTATAACAATTGTATATTTCCTTTTTCGCACTTGCGCAAAATTATAAGAACAAAAAGTCCTCAATTGGCACCCCTCAACACAAAAAAGGGATGTTTAATTCATTTGCAAAGAATTTCCCAGGAGGGGCATATGAACCAAATATACCACTATATGTCTTATAATTATAGCCACAGGACTTATGGCAATATTTCGAAATACAATTCTTTAAAGATGGCGGCACAGTGAAAACAAAACTATTTGAATTGTACAAAAGATGGCGGCAATGTTTTATAGTTAGTCGAGCAGCTCTTTTGGAATTTATAGAAACTATTGTAAAGAGAGGATTAACTTTTATGAAATTCTCGCTAGTAATTATTTCCCAAAAATTCCAAGAATTTTCTGTTGAATTCCCTTAAGCAATACGAATTTGATTGATAGAAAATATTTGGTTAATTAATGTCAACATTTTTATTCAAAATATAAAGAGTACAAATAATTATTAACAATGAAATCCATCAAATTAATCAAATAAAAAATTATATATATACTTAGGTATTTTTTGTTTTTTCATAATTTTATTGTTTTTCTATGCCGGAAATGTTCATTAATTTCTCTTTAACATATATCTGCATTATAATTATTACAGTTAAACGCACTTTATTATAGTAAAAGTATTGTTGCTAAAAGTTTTGCTAAAATATTTTTGAAAACTTCACTTCGATTTGTAATAACATTGCAACTAAAGAGCAAATCAGATTAAGGCCGTAATATACTTATATACACATCAATATTAACACATATACATACATTTATATATCCATACATATGTATGCATATTTGTGTATAGATACACATCGAAATTTTTTACTATTTTGGAACGGATTCTCTATAGCTAGCTTCAAAGTTCGACTGTTTTTTTTTTTTTTTTTGTGCTTTACTTTGGTTTTAGAGTATTATTAAAGCTAACTAGCACTCGAAAAAAACAAATAACATTTACTATTCCATCATCAATCATTAATCATTCAACACATTTTTAGCAAACTATATCGAAATGCTAATTTTTCGAGATCAAAATACACCCAAAGTCCTGCATCGCCAATAACTGATTAATAATTAATGTACATATACGCATATATATTATTCATATGTATCATATATGTATATGTTTATATGCATATAGCCCTCACAACAATTATGTCTAGCGTTCTTTACAAAAATATTCGTGATCTTTAACCAACAATATGCATATTTCCGTATTATCCGTGTTTATCCATAACCTAATATACATATATAGGCACACAAACACACTTACACACACACGCAGAGACATAGATAGATTTGCACACGCACACGGGCACAGGCACACACACATATATAGAATTCTCTTATCTAACTGTGCTTTCTTACCTAACTCGAAATTAACTTGGATATTAGAGTTCTTAATTTGAATATATGTTAACAAAATTATTAAAGTTTTTTAAATACTATTAGCAGTACGAGTATTTGAAACAAGTACAGAGATAATTTGATAGATTTTCTATTATATGTATGTCTTACGATCTGATCTATTTGCATTTGTCATGCATTTGAAGAAAAGGAGTTTCGCTATCGACGTAAAGCCTTATTGTGGGAGATTTACCTCTCCGTTCCCACTTGCACTGTATACATACGAGGGTAGTCTGACAAGTTTACGAACTGACATAAAATATCAACTATAATAATTCAGGTTTTTCTATCTGCTTCATCTTGTCGTTCAGTTTGGATATCTCTCAGACCACACTCGTACAAATATATATATATTCACATATATGTATATGGACTTATCGGTCGTATCATTTATAGATCGTCTGAGATCCAAGGGGTTATTTAAAATGTATCTTGTAGATACTTTGAAGTCTGCACAAACATATATTTAAACTGGAGTACAACTTAGATCTCCTGCAAGAGTGCCTCGGGCGTTTGGGGATCTGTTGTGCTGCCTCCCAGCTCTCCACTCATATCGCCAACCGATGAGGAGACCGCCGACAGCATCGTGGTGACCGTGGCATTGATCAACTCCGTGCTGGTGGTTGCTACAGTGCTATACAGGGCCAGAGCCGTGGTGGTGATCACTGTGGCCAGGGCGGGCACGGACACGGCGCTGGTGGAGCTTGTCTCTGTGCTGCTGATGCTGGCCATGGTGGTGTTGAGCAAGAATGGAGCAAGCGTTGTGTTTGCTACCAGTGTTGAGCTAGTGGTGGGCAGCAGCGGGGGCAGATGGCCGTGGTAGTGATCCAGCATGCTGGTGGGTGGCGTATATGGATACATGGGACACGGGTTCTCCAGCTGGGGGCCCAACATGTTCTCGAATAGGTAGCCAATCATGGAGCCTGCTGTGAGTCCAATATTGTAGGATAGTGTCATTATGTTGCCGGTGACTTCTTTGAGGGTGCCAGGCACCTTGGCCGGCGCCAACATCATGGGTAAGCTGCCTGCCAGGCCATTGCTGATGCCCAGTGCAATGGTGAAGAGAAAGGGCGCCGTCTCACCAGAGATGATCGGGCGATGTCGCGGTGCACAACACAACAGAAACAACGGCACCAGTACAATGCGCAATCCGGACAACAGAATCAGCTGGCGACGCGACCAGGGATATGGACTGGCTGCCAGTATCTTGCCAATGACGTCTGATGTATTGAAGCAGAACATCAGTAGGACAGGCATCCATGTGCGCAGGGAGCACGAATTGACCTCCACCTCGATGCCGGGATAGAGAGAAAGCGTCACACAGTAAGCCAACGCAATGCACACCATGTACGGATAGATGACCTGGGCCACACGCCAGCGCGTCACAAATCCCTCACGTATATCGCCCAACTTGCTGGGTCGACAGCGACGTGGCGTTATCACATGCTCCACCTTGAAGGCGACCGTTGTGGGTGTAGCCGGCTCATGCGGTGTGCCTGGCAGCTCGGGCATCTGGCCCAGGCCCTCAATGATGCTCTCTCCAGCCGTGGGATTAGACAGTTCATAGACAGGATTGCTGAAGCTCAGCGTATTGGCTGTATTTGAGTTGGAATGATGGGGTCCAGCTGATGTGGTTGTCGTAGTGCCATCCATGGAGAGAACGCCGTACTTGGCGCTGGTGGTGGCACCATCGATCTCTTGCTACAAAAAGAATTTATGAATAATATACAGATTTCTCTTCCTTTCCACTCACGTCATCCGGTCGCAAGACGATCTTGGAGCACGCCTCCACGTGGAATCGCACAAATGGCGAATTGATCGTGGCCAAGTGCAGCAGGTAACTGAAGAGTATATACAGCGTGGATGTCAGAAAAAAGATGACCGTCGAGACGCGATCATTGTTGATGAGCAATTTGGTAACCACGCGATTGGAAGACACCAGAAATCCCGCAATGCTCTCGCCAGCCATCACAGCCTGTGTGTATTGCTTGGGCAGCATCGAGGCGAATCCATAGAAGCTGGACTGCTGCACAGTGCAGCCAATGGCTGTCAGTGCCACAGCCGACATGTTCACCACATACGCCGTATTCGTGGCGAACATGTGCCAGGCCACCTCGCAGACGGCCACAAAGATCAATGTGGTAAAGGACACCATGTAGCCAAAGAGCACGCGCGTCTGGAATGGTGCCAATGAGAGCACAATGTTGTTAAACAAAACCGTGATGAAGGCCACAAAGATGTACGTCATGGACATGTCCAGCGCCACGGGACGGCCGGGAAAGCGACCTTGCCAATAATCCGCAGCGATTATGAAGCTAAACAAAGGAAAGATTAAAATTAGACATGGTTTAATTGTGGCAGATGAATTATATTTTAGCATATACATATATTGATTTATTTACACATAATTGAAGAAAATATAAATTATGCAGTTTAATTAAAAATAATGAAATAAAAATATATGTAAAATATATATATATCTATATATATATCTAAAACAAAGAATAAATACACAGTAATAAATATTATTTTTAAATATAAATTTATTTATTATTTATATTGTAATATTATAACATATAAAAATTAAATAAATATAAATGTATTTATGCAAAAAATAAATATAATAAAATTGTTATTATTTAGCAACAATCACATGACCAACAACATTTATGAAGACTCATTCAAGTGTGCAAATTAATCCTCATAAATTACTATTCGACTACATAAATTAAGTTGATGTCAACTCTGACTATGATAATCGCTCGTAATCAATCTTTGTCCCGTGCAAATCCCATTCACACAACGCCTACACATTCACATGCCCATTCACATTCACACACACACACACATCCCCATTCCCACTCTGCTTTACATTTGAATTTCTACATTGGTTTTGCACTCACCTATTGTAGGGCAAAACAAATCCTATGCCCGCTGCAAGCAGTGCCAGATAGACGGCATGCCGATGGTCCTTGGGGGCGCGTGTATCATACTCGGGACTATCGATGCTCGCTGGATGCCTCATGCCAGAGTCCGAGCCACGGCCGCTGCGCCCTTCGAGTGGTTCGTATGTGGTTTCTTGTGCGCCTACGTCCATTTTGCTGTTGTTTTTCCTATTGTTTTATTTCGCAACTATTGTTGCGATTGTTTTGATCTTCCTTTTTTTTTTTAGTTTTTAATTTAAATGTATCGCAATGCAATAGACTTTTGCATAATTTACGCGTTCGATTCGACACGCCTGCAGCGAAGGGAGTACCAAACGCTGAGAGTTCGTCATACGCACTAATACAGGGTGCTTGCTGTCTCTTCAGGCTGCAGGAGAACAACCAAGCTGTTTTGACCAACACAAATCGATAAACAGCAGGCACAAGTTGTTGCTCCAATAAATTGCACTCACTGTGCCAATCGATTACAATGTAAATGTTGCAAAAACAAATCTGTTCCAAAGACTGCTTCACATTTGTGACTTTACGTAAGTGCTATTTGTTTTTATTGCTGTGGTCAAATGCACTTGTTTTAATTGTTGATGTCTCCACGTCTGTTTCTTATTGACTATCATTTTAAGAAAACATGCCGCAAGTGTACACTAGGCATGCACAACTAACTGGCCATCCGTTGGCAGAAAATGTTACAGCAGGCTTTTCACCACACTTTTTTCACCACGGCATGCGCAATGGCCACTGCGTAAATGGCAGGCAGATGATTGATTTTCAATGCGGCGCAGACATGCAGTCACTTATCCTTTGGTCGTTGGACTGGCTGGTCGACATCGCTCCTGAGATCTGCTGAAAAAGCACTCCCAGACGTGTATGTATAACAATGACAAAATTTTCTTGTCTGCATTTTTTATAACTATTGATTGACATAAAGTGCTATAAATTTTGTAGTATATTATCTGGTATTAATATTGTTTTCCCGTTTGCAATTTACTTTTAATAATGACAGTTAAGGTTGAGGACTTTGACAGCTGTTCAGTAAATTGCTGCATACATACATATATTTTGTGAATTTTCTTATTAGTTTCACAGAGAACAAATTTCAGTCGTTTATAATCTATTTAAACTAATATAAGAAACTATATACAATACTAATTTCAATTTATGTTTATTCGCAGATGTATAGATGAGGTGGTCGATACGATGTCAATTGGTAAAACAAAAGGTAAAACAGGTAACCATAATGAGGCTTTCTCCAGGTAAGAAAACGTCATGTACCAACCAAATTATCATTGCGGCATTTTCCCCCACCAAATTTTAATTTACATAAGTATGTCTACTGGAAAGTGGTATATAGATTTGTATGTATCCAAACATCCCTCGAAAATCCGTGTATATCTAATATCTGGACAACCACCTGAAAATTGAATACATACTAAATTACCTGTTCAAAGGGTTGATAGATAGATACACATCTTTATATATCTAGGAATCTATATACATACATATATAGCTGCCATGCATACATGCAAGTGACTTGCAAATGAGAAATGCATAGCTAGAACTATATAGGAACAGAACATCCCGCCGTATCCGTCGATGCTTTAAATAGTAAAAAGACAAATATTTTTCCCAACCACTCAGCATGGGCTCTTTTCCACTGTTCAAAGCAAAGACAGCTGCGGGTTGTTCCGTTTGAAAAATCAGCAGGAGTAGAATTAAGATAATTAAAAGTGATTTTAGAGTCTGTAAATGCCGTTATTAAAGATGTGGCGCAGAAGTTTGCAACTTAAACGATATCCCGCACTTGTCGCTGGCTATTGTGCAAGTCATCGTTAATGTTGCCGGATTCTGTGACCTATAGTACAACCACAAATAGTATTTATAAAATTGGTAGGCCAGACTAATATAAGAAGTGCAAGGAAGTACCTTTACTATAAAAGAACAGAACTTCCCGCCGTATTTGTCGATGCTTTCATTAGTAAAAAGACAAATATTTTTCCCAGAAATCAGCTTGGGCTCTTTTCTACTACTCAAAGCAAAAACGACGGCGCGTTGTTCTGTTTATCAGCTCAGCTGAAATATTATTAATAGTATAATTAAGATGGCTAAAGGTGAATTAACGAACCGGTGATACACTAATATTAAACATATGGTGCAGAAGTTTGCAACTTAAACGATATCCCGCACTTGTCGCTGGCTATCGTGCAAGTCATCGTTAATGTTGCCGGATTCTGTGACCTAAGACAACAAGCAATGAACATTAAAAATATGAGCTAAGACGAGTTTTGATAAAGCTAATGCGTAGCCCATCATTTGTCCCGTTATCAATCTATTTTCTGCTTTAAATGTATATATATTCCCCAGTTTTCTGAAGTAGCGGATGGCAAGGAAGTCACCATACATCACGGAACGAGGTCAACGTCCAACAACTTCAAATTCTTTCAATCAAATATTGTATTTATATATTTATTCCATTAAAAAATGTTTATTTGTATTACTTGGATATAACAATAATAGTTTTCGTTTATGCAGATATTTTAATGTTAATAATTATATTAACATAAATAAACAAAATAAAACAAATATTTTAACAGCAATCTTGTGACTTCACATTGACTAAATATTAAATTTATCCAATAAAAAATATATAATACAAACAGCATTTAACATAATTTAATTATTTTTCAATACATATCGTGACTTTGAGGCGTGAAAAAATATAATAAAATATACGCCAATTAATTGTTATCGCATTGCCGCATTTGTTTTGCTTTAATCAAAGAAATATTTTATTGTCAGCAATGCAAACATTACTTAAATAATGCTGTGTATTATTTTACATGCCGAAACAGACGTCAATCAAAGGTGTGATTTAAGAACTACGATACTTTTTTGTGTTTAACTAATCGGAATGAGCCATTTTGTTTTAGTCTGTTTTGTTAAATATATCATTTAAATTTTGACAAGCTTGTTTTATTGTTGCTTCTTCGAGGCTTCGCTGTAGCTGGGTGGCAAATTCTGGAAAACCAAGAAAATCGTATTAAATGATAATTTTGTGGAATATAAAAATATTTCGGATACTCACATTATATGATGGTGGCATATCGTTCGGGCCTGGTCCGCGGGATCCGCCTTGATTATAGGGTGTATTATAAGCACTAGCAGCGGCCTCGGCTTCTTTGGAATCTGTGTAGATTAATAAGAAGTTAATATTTCGATTCTTATATTAAAAAGACATACAGAATATGTATTTTATACGAATAGAGGAATGTCTTACAATCCTTTTTATGGATATATAACTGGTATTGGTATAAAACAGAAGGGTCTTGCAACTTGGTAACAATTGGGATAATAATAATATTGCGTGCTGCTGGTTCCTGCAAAGTTTGCATGGAAAAATCAAAAAAGAAAGAATAATTCGTTATACAAGTTACTAAAAACAAGCTTAAATTGCGGAACTATAGGCTCGGCTTTTGTTGGAAAATTTAAGCAACTGAATTTTAGTTATTTATATGATGGTCGAAACGAATAAAAGCATTACAAAATCTTACTTGTTTGCTTTGCTGTAAAGTAGTTTTGCACGAATTTGCAGTTTACACTGTGGAGTAGGTAAGGAAATAAAATTATTTCAGATGCCAAATAATTGATAAGGTGTTTTTGAGTTTAGTAACTTGTTAGATTTCTACAAATTAAATACGAAAAATTAGAATGAAGGGATAAGTGTAAGTCAATAATTATGCAGCTAGGGATCTATTGTAAGGTTTGCAAAAAATATCTGCTCGTCTCTGTTTCCTATTCAATTTAACAATTTTCACAATATTTGATTAATTAAAATTAAAAGTAATGAAAATGTAACGAACCATTTAATGTATAATTTATAAATTTTTGATGATATTGACAGACTGGTCATTCAGACATGAGTCCAAATTTATTCTGTGAGGCGTGATTAATTAGTATGGACAACACTAAAAATGAATGATGGACTTCTATGTAAAATACTAACTTCCAGGTGGCAAGCTGAAGCCCATGAAATTAGCCGCAGCACTACTTCCTCCTGCGTTGGCAGCAGACATTCCTGCAGATGTGTTTCCTCCAGGCTGCTGCGGAGGAGCACTGCCTGGGTAACCGTTTGGTTGCTGTGGTGGAGCTGCGCCAGGATAACCGCCAGGTTGCTGAGGCGGGATAAAGCTTGGTTGCATAAATCCACCAGGTATATTTGGATTAAAGCCTCCATAGGGAACTACGGGTGGCGGTCCACTATAAGGTGCCTGTGGTGGCATGTCTGGCCTACAGGCTGCGTACGGCGGCGGTTGTGCATAGCCGCCACCCCAACCAGCTTGGGGGGCTTGGGGGCCATAGCCAGGCTGTTGTTGAGGCTGCTGATCTGGTGGTGCTGAAAAACCATACCAAGTGGGATCAGTTTGCTGCTCCTGCTGCTGCGGAGGATGTGGTACTGGTTGGTTGTTTGGTGGTGCTATTAAAGATATAGAAAGAAATGGATTGTGCAAAGGTGCTTTAGTGCTAGAGAATGCGCAAGCGTGTTACAAATATGCATTCAATTTTTTGGCCAATTAAAATACAAATGTCGTCATATGTACAAGAACAAAAGCCGAGTATGGGAAGGATAAAATCTTATACACAAAACTTACTAATGCCCGGATACGGCGGAGGATTGTCACTTATAAAAACAGTGTTGGGTGCCGGTCCACTGAAGGCATCATGTTGTGGCAACCAGCCATAATAACCTGGTGGTGGCTGGTAAGCCGGTGGTGGAGCCTCATGCCAGGCACCGGCTGGCGCATATGGTGGCGGATCATCGCCAGCAAGACCACCACGATGAAAGTTGCTTTGAGCGGTCTTAGCAGCCCGCAACAACGCTTGACCATACTCTATGGCTCCGCCTGACTTGAAGTACAGCTTGAACTTCACCTCGCCCACATAATTGCCATTAGGCTGGGCACGGACCTTGCCCTTAATATAGTTGGCTCCAAAAACGGGTTGCTCAATTTCAACCTAAAATGCAATACGATCCAGATTATAGTGTGTCTGATTTGGAAAAGCAAAACCAAGTAACACTTACATCCGAAAGAGCTACAAAGGGTGCGCTAAACGATTGCATTACATCGCTTGGTTTCTTGCTGTTAAAAATCATTCTATGAGATGTCAAATAAACTCGTCCTTGCTTAGAGCCTCTGAATAGGTCATTATCCTGACCAGAAAATTCCATTGAGACGCTGTCGCTATGCAACAGAATGCTATAGAAAAGGAGAAATTCTTGATTAGCTGTGGATATTCTTTTATAACAGAATTTGTCTTTAATTCTATACAGCTGTTGGGGTTTCCACTGCATGACGAAGTCAAGCACCGTTTTCCGGCAAATAATTTCGGAAAATATTTCATATTTCTTACTAATCCGCTCATATTATATATTTTGGAATTAAGTTTACAAATCCAATGGTTTTTTTTTTTTTTGCGGCTTTGGTAGGAAATACGAACGTACCGTTTGCAATTAGCAAAACAATATAAATATAGTGATACATATGTATATATATGTATGTATATTGTACTTTTATATGACGTCAGAGTTCAGTGGTTGCCCCAACAAAAGCTTGCAGTTCTAATTATACTTACTACTCTCCTGCATGTATGAGCACACCATTATTTGCGTGTGCCGTATTGATCGACATGTTGGATAGTTTTTTAAATAATTTTCTCAAAGATTTCAAAAATTTGTTGTAAACTGCGCTGTGCTTTACTGTTGTTTTTGACCTAAACTTTCTCGAATTAACGACAGCTGATGAATCATGAACAGTGTGTACACATGTGCAGCGGTGCCGCATTGGAATGCCTAAAAAATACCACATTTTTGTTATGGAGTTATTTACAGCAGCCCTGTGTATCAATGTAAGAAAACTTTTACACTTCTACACGGCACAGCCGGAGTCAAAATTTAGTTAAACTATTTTCATAACACAAATCGACTGCTTAAAATAGTCTTAAATGATTGTAAACGCACTACGTATGCTTTTACAACGCAAACTGCTTGGAAATCGTGCCCAACTATAACACAGCGTAACTAATTCGTTACCCTAATACTGAAAATGGTATTTATCGTGTAGTTCATATAAAACAATTTTCGAATGGCGTTTAATTATGCAAATTTGGGTGATAATATGTGTAAGTCAATGCTTTCGTATGTAATTTACCATAAAAGTATAGATATCTATTTAAATATGAATAGTTTTTTGTTCAAACTACTGTGAGAAACTTCTGCTATGTCGAAAATAGAGACCCGACCACAAATCAGAACACATAATAGAAAAAAATACCGAACCACCTATCACATTACGCTTTGTGTTCGTACATATTGCGCCGTTTGCTTTACTGTTTAGTTCGTGTCTGGTAAACAGCTGATTTTTATTTGTATTTTTTTCTTTCCTTATATCGGCGTGTTCTACTGCCGGTTATAGTGCCAGTTTTTGGGAGTATGCCAAATGGCGTCAGCTTGCCAAATCATCCAAATTTTATTAATCAATTGGCTGCTGCCATTTCGACCGGCACGGTTGGCGTTGCCACGCCCACAGCGACGAACAGCATTGGCGCAGTGGCACAAACAACCGCCCCAACAAATAACAAGGCAAAAAGCAGTAAATTGAAGCAGCACAACGCACAGGGCAGTGCTCCTATGGATTTGGAAAATGACAATGATGCGGAAAACACAGAGGCCATGGCAGCTGTAAAGTCTGTGGATAAATTGCCAGGCTCAGCTCTATCGCTGCCTGAAGCCCAGCAACTCTATTTAAATGGTTTGATGCACACACCGCCCGGCTACTTGTACTTTCCTACAGCACAGAATGCTGCAACTGCTGTAGCAGCGACTACGCCAAGTGGCACAACGTCTTCATCAGGTAATGCCTCGAATCCTAATGCACAAATGCTACTCGATCACTCCGCGATGATGGCGGCAATGCAACAAATGCAGCATAACTATGCAGCTGGCTATGTGGCCGCAACAACAGTTGGTGGAATGCCGTCTGATGGGGCTGGACCGGGAATGGATGGTACTATAGCAGCCGGCAAGTATTAAATTTTATTCTATTTCGTTAGTAATCTAATGTATTTTGTACTTTGTTCCACAGATGGCACAAGCAATGCTGCCGGCTTGAAAGAGGTGATCAAAACCAAGAATTGCATATTGTTTCCACCCAACCCGAATGCACCGCCACCTACCATACGCGAACGTCCGCCGGGCTGTCGTACTGTGTTTGTGGGTGGCTTGCCAGAGAACATTACAGAAGACGTTATTCGAGAGATATTTGAGTCGTGTGGCGAAATCACAACACTACGCATGTCTAAGAAGAACTTTTGCCATATACGCTACCGACACGAGGCAGCCATAGATCGTGCCATTTACTTGTCGGGCTACCGACTACGCATCTCTAACCAAAATGAGCCCCCGAATTTCGGGCGTCTGCATGTGGACTACGCTCAGGCTCGAGATGATCAATACGACTACGAATGTAAGCAGCGTCAATTACAGAGGGAGCAGCGTCATAGAGAACGCATGTCGCTGGATCGCATGCGCTCACAATCGCCGCCCCCAATACCACATTATACGGATCATGAGGCTACCGCAGTGGCAGAGCATCTGCGAAATAACGAAACGTTTGTGAAGGCCATTCAAACTATCACCGCCTGGCTGGAACGTGGCGACTGCACTAAGCGCAATGCGAACGTCTTTTACTCAATGATCCAAAGCACACATGCGCATGTACGGCGTTTGCATACGGATAAGCAGCAGCTCGAAGAGGATCTGCGTAAGGCGCGTGAATGTTATCGCAAACAAATGGGCACCATGTCAACACAATGTAAGTAGCCCATTTTGCAGGTCTAGTATGTAGTTTTAGATGGGTTTGAGGTGCGCTCCTTTTACATTTCTTTCTGTTTTTGTTGCCGGTTAGCGTCTAGCGTCTGTATCATGAACAATCAATTAAATACAATACACACTTAAACAGAACACACACGCTTACACACCCACACTTTCTAGCAATCTAGTCATCGTTCTCTCAAAAGCGAAAATAAAACCAATTCCACATACAAGAATTCACTGTCTAAAATTTGCTCTCAAAGTACAATTCCAAAAACAAGGAGAAGGAGCAAATCAAGAAGCAAAAGCTGCAGGTAAAAGTTCAGTCACATCAGTGCTGCACAGTGGCTGAAACTCGATGGCGATGCGATCAAATTAAGATGATTTATGACTCGTTTCAGAATATGAGCAATTTCTGTCGTTATTTTGACGACTTTAAACTGAATCGAATTTAATGACATGTGTAAAGAGTTTTGCATTATTTGATTTTTTATAGCTACGAAAAACTAAATCTTTTAAAGCTTAGTTCGTCATTACTTAACATATGTTTCTTTATTAGTAAGTGCAACGACTGCCATAGTAATTACATTTTGATCGCAACATTGTTTGTTTAAGCCACTGTGCAGAAACTCATTCTACTGTATCTGACTGTACGCCAAGTCTGAAAACTTACCATATGAATAAATAGATATATGTAAAGTGTAAGCCCAGGCCAAAGGTTTGTAAACCAAACAGACATATACGATAAAGCCTTCGGACCAGACACCAACCGCCTTTCTGGCTGTCTGTAGAAAACAACTAACAACTAACTGCAATTGAAGTCTTTGAATATATATAAATATATACATAAACATATGTAGGTAACAAGCTGTTGTACAATATTTTTAGACTGTACTTTGCCATATAAACTATACAAAATATTGTGTTATGCGAGGGACGCTGAAGTAGTTTTATTCTACTTATTATTTTCCATTGATTTTATTAGAAACCACAAACTAGTTAAACGGTGAAAAATCAAACCAAATGAAACCCAAAAAAAAAAAAAAAAAAAAAAAAGAAATATCTACCCTCTGTCCTCCCTTAATATTATTATATATTATTGCATTATTGTTCAGTCACTCAGATTGAAAAAGTGTTCAATGCCGCTAGTCACAAGAAGGTTTGGGACCATTTCACCAAAGCCCAAAGAAAAAACATCGACCAATGGAAGAAATTAGCGACGGTACGTACAAAATTGTTCAAAGAATGTATTACGGCAAGTTCAGCTATGCAGATATCGTTCTAAACACATACTACATGTGGTACTCGTGCCTGTTCTTATTGTTCTGTCAGTATTGCTAGTCGTAAAATATTAATTAGTATCTTTGTTATCACCCTTTCGTATCCGTATCTGTTCTGCATGTTGGTTTCTGTACATATATCATATTGCTTTCCAACTTGAAATTTTTCATTCATTTGGATTGTTTGCATTGTTCAGCTTAATTAATATCTTGATAATTAGATCGATTGACAATCCAAATGTTTAACATCTTAATTTGTTAATAATGTTTTTCGTATATCTGTCTCTCTAAAACTTGCTATAAAATATGTTGATAATCAAAACTCACTTTCTTATTGACGTCATGTTTATTGTTTTGTCTTTATTTGATCTATTTATATTTATCATTAATTTTTAGACTCATATATTTATTTTTATTTTTGTAAATAATTGAAATTGCAATCAAGGGAAACTGTTCCCCAAAATATATAAATATACGAGAATTGTATATATAAGATAATATAAATTTTATTAAATCATAGAAATTTTCGGATTTTATGGAACAGTTTTCCTTTTTCAGAGCTTTCTCATCTGCTTTTCATACTTAAGAATTATATTTTATAATATTTCCATTTGGCACAATTGATAGCAATATTTCTTTCTTTATCAATGATAAATTAACTAACCTTTTGCATACCGATTTTTTTCGATAAGCTTTCGATTTCCATTTAAATCTAAAAGTAACTTGTAGCCGAATGCCAAAGAACTTGTGTAATATATATTCAATTTTCGAATAATTTCAAACACAGATAATTCATATATAGCTAAAATTTTGCAAGTTCCTAAGGCACTTACTGAGTTCGATTGGCTGTGCGTTTGCGTTGGTAAACAGTAAAACCTAAACATCTTATGATAAAACTCATTGTGCAACATTTAACATGTTACATGCAAATAATAAGTATACAAGAACATAATAAAAACAATTAAAATTAATAGAACTTTTTGAATGTGGCGAGGTAAGTAAGCGGACCGAAACTGAAACGAAGAGCCAAATGAGAATTGTATGATGCATTTTCAATATACAAACCAATTATAATACCTAGGCTATAGAAATTACCATCGTAAACACTGGTTATGCAACAAAATATGTTATAACTCTATATTATGAACTATTTAATGATAATTAAAAATTTTGAAATGCCATGCAGGAACTGCGCACGGTCCAAATCGACGATGATGAAATGGAAATCTCAGATGACGAGCGCGACTACGAGAGGCGCAGCAAACGTACGCGCTACGATAGCGATGGACTAAAAGTAAGCGGGATTGGTTGAATCAAGTTGTATTCATTAATTATATTACTGATTATTTAACTTCTATTTTAGGATGAGAATGACTCACTACGTTGTCAATTAGAGGCCATTCGTAATGAGATGTCAGTGGAGCGCAGTGACTGTGTGCAGCGCGAAAAGCAAATCAAGGTGTTACAAGAAACAATACGTAACATGCAGACACAGTTGTTGCAAACAAAGCTGCGCGAGCAAAAAGACTGCAAAACCATTGAGCAGCTGGAAAGGAATCTCAAGGAGGCAGGCGTAAAGCAGCTGTTACTTAAGACAAAAATTAAGGAGACTGCGGATAAGCTAAAAGACAGGGAAGCATACAGCACCAGTGCTTCGGTTGCTTCGAATCCGGAATACAGCAGCGGTGATTCGTGCAGTAGAAATGCGGATGATCTCAAAGCAGCTGCAAAGAAAGAAAATGCTATAGAACTAGAAATAATAGATATTGATAAAGTGGACGATGATGTACGCATTATCGAGCATCAAAGCGGTGTTGTCGAAATTCATGAGATCGAGGATGATGAGAAACTGGAGGCAGCTTCTGAGCCATTAAAAGCTTCTGATGAAGCCAAACAATTGCCCAAAACGGATGAAAGTCTAAAGTCTGATAAAATGGAAACCGTAGTGCAAACAAACGTTGAACCGTTGGCCACTCCAAAGGTAGATCCTGATTGCGTAGATGTATTCATAGGATAGATGGATATTGAACTTAACTTTTTTTTTTTTTTTTTTTTTTTGTTTGTCTTTTGCAGAATGAGCTAATGTCGCTGGCACTTTTTGAAGCTAAGATTATAGCATTGACTTCCGCCTATTTGGTCCTGCATCCCCATGGCGTGGACATTGACAGCATTTCCAGCTATTTACGTGGAATGTTGCTCAAGTCCCTTGAATTAAAGAGCAACGATGACCTACTAAATATACTCACAAAATATACAAATCTTTTCAAGTCTGAACAGTCGAAGTGGAAATTCTGTGGTTTTTCCGACGAACCTACGGATGCGAATGCAACCACGGTGCAGTAAATCACAGGCGTTAACAAAAACAATTAAGGCTTTAACTAATTAACGTAGAAGTAAGGAATGAGCGCCAATGACATGTTAACCAAAAATGTGATTGTTGTAATCACAGAAATGAGACCAGTTTTCTAAACGTAGGAACTTGTAATTAATTTAAGCTATACTAACGACAACAATGATTACAACAACAACAACAAAGAACTACCGTTTCAATTATTTTAACAATTAGATTGTAATGTGTAAACAAATTCAATATGTACACAAATATACTGAATACATAATGCACATTATGTAAAGACACCAAACAAATGTTGCTAAAATTGCTTTTAATGTAATACGAACCAATAAATTTTATGCTATATTTACCTGGTAACAAAAATTGTTAAAATACCTTAAAAGGGTTTGAGAAGCTAAGAGACTAAGAGACTCTGCAAAGCAAAAAACACTGGGATACTTATAGAAAAATTGTTTTTTTTTTGCCATATTCTATGATATTTAATGGTCTCTACGACTACCTATTCCTAATAGCTAATATGCAAGTGTTTCTCAGATTGGATTACTGATCGTATGACGTAAAATTTAGTCCTTTTTTTTAAATGTATTCAAAAGTATTAATTTTATTTTTATTCGTCAATTACAAACCATAAAGCCTTAACGTGGGAGTCTATACACAAAAATGCTCCCAATAAGAATGTGCTTATCCCTAAAATGATGCCTTTTATCCTTGTCTCGTCAAAAATTTCGCAACTGCTCTACAATTACGTGCGAAGCTTACGATTCTTGCGTAAGCTTTAACGAAATATGAGAGCGTCCTTTGCCAAGGACACTCAAAAGCAAAACGTTTCTCACAGCATCCCTGCACACATACGAGCCCACGCACACGCACACTGACATTCTTGTTAAGTTCAGTCATTCAAGCCTACTCACATTCGCACATCCTGTGCAAGGCCATGACGAAAATATCAAAACTTTAATTCCTGTCTCATTCCACATTTGACGTCATGCGCTCTTTTCAATATACATTTTATTATTCGATTAGTTAAAACCCAGCAATGAGATTAAATAACAACAAAGTTTAACAAAATCAAACGTAATTTTCCCGCTTTGACGCAGGCAGCATCACGGCTCTGTCTTTGAGTGTGTCGCTGTCGAGAGCAGTGGTTCGCTTTTTATAAAAACAAAAACAAAAGAACCTAAATATAAATGTATATATACTATATATATAATGTTAAAGTTTTTTAATACACTTTTGTTTTGTTAGTTTTTATTTATTTCCTGCTCGTTCAAATGTTATTATAGATAAGCTTCATACTTTTTGACTGGCAACTTGCATAGTTCGTAACACTGTGCGCTGTCGCCTCACCGTAAAATTCTGTTGAGCAACTTACCCAACAACGGACGCCCGCCATATCAACGATATCAGTTGTTTTAGCGAATTCATCGCGCGCGGTTACTAAACGGGCGACGCGCTGAAAGACCAGCAGCCAGAACAGACTTCGTTATCCATGTCCATGTCCACTACATCGTAACTCTGCGTGTGTGTCTCTGCTTGCTTGTGTACTCCTCCAATCGACAGTGAACTGTTTTTAAAAAATAAGAGAAAATACAAAAAGCAAACTGTAATTTTGTCTGCGCTGTGCTGTGTGCCTTTTCGTATATTTTAATAAAATTACGTGCACTTTCTTTTTACCGCGTGCTGGACTACATACCCAGCCTCCAGGAAGGACGAGTCAAGTTCAAAGTTTCTGCTGGAAGCTGCTGACGACCATCAGCGGGAGCTCGTGTTTGTTTTTGTTTTCTTCTTTCGGTAAGTTTTCGCCGGCATGTGTACAGTTTGACAAGCTGTGACTAACGAATGCCAGACAATAGATGAGACAATTGTGCCGTTACTGCAAGTAGAGATAAAAGCAATGGAAGCGAATAAAACTGAAGATTATCTTTGTGCATATTAACTAAAGCAAATAGAAATTACTTTAAATCGATATTATCCCTTTAAATATAATTTGTTTAAACTTCACATTTCTACAGTTAAAAAATAAAAATTATTTATTTCCGCTCACCCAATTCAAAAAGACATGTAATGATATTAGTTGAGATAGCCAAATCAAAATTTTCTGATAACCAAATATACCAACCGCAATTATTAATCATAGAGCGCTACATGCAGTCTGGAACTGAATAATATAAAGCGGTAGCGTGTTACATTAGGGTCCAAGTTGAAAACATCGCTGAACTCAGCTGAAATTTTGACGAGACATTGGAACGTGCCCGTTGGTAATCTTATGGAAAAGACAAATTAATTCATAACTACATGAGTTAACAAGAAATACAAATAAATATCATCCGACATATTATAAATCAAACTAAATCACATCTCAAACTAAATAAAACTTTTCTCTGTAACTTGAGTTTTTTCCCTTAAAAAAAAAATAAATAAATAAAAAAAAAAATTTACTGCGCATTTTTCCCATCTTTCAAAAACAGATAAATAAGATTCGCAAATAGTAATCGAATCTGGCCGACTGGAATTCCAGTATACAATTAGGTAGAAACCAAAAAAATCCCCAGCTTTGTGATACATATATACTTATATATACATGTAATATGTATGTATAGCCAACACTTTAAACAACAGCAATTTTATATGGTATTTGAATTGAAAAAAATTCAACTTTCCTGAACTGATACAGAATCACGTACTTTTGGTTTTGGTACATGCTATAAAATTTTTTGACTTGGATTTTATTTTGCTGTTTTCGCTTGATAAGGCTTATAAATTTTCGTAATGTTTTAATCAAGATTTTTTATTCAAGTAAGGTATACTGATAAGCAGGTCTTTGCAATGAATGGAACAGAATCTTTGTTCCATGTGCGTGCAGTTCTACCTGAACCCAATGTCTTTCACAGATCGAATTGAGTAATTGGAAATCCAATTGATTCGACAGCGTGTTTAAAGTGAGTTAAATGACAACAATATATTGCGCCTCATGATTTGCATGAAATGGAAAAACAGCTCTACAGATAATAATTATAACGCAGCGTAAATTAGATAAATAACTGTAATTAATGATGAGCGTATTATAAGGGAACTCACATATAGGAAATTCGAATGCATTTTAGTGAACTCGGCTTTTGTTTTATATAAATATAATAATAAATTTGCATTTTGTGAAAAATAACAAATTGCGAAAATTATCAGCGGGTGGGAAATCTGAATACGACGATCCGTTAAAAGCAACTCACGTGCACACTATGCAAATGGCAGGTGAGTGTGAGTGAGTGATGAGGCGTGGCTGTCGCAGTTCAACAGTATCCAAATGACGTCAGGTCATTTTCACAGGCAATTAGTAAACAATTTTGTGCACTTGCACCAGCTCAGATACAGATACAGTTACAGTTATTTGCCATTAGCCATGTTGACTCACCACACCTGACAATAAGTTCAGGTTTGATTGACTTTAAATCAATGGAATTAAGATATATATACCCTGAGGGCAACAGCACCTGAAAAACTTTTAGCAATATTGCTCATCTAAAAAATCAAGTTCACAAATATGTAGATACATATATAGATATATATATAGAAATGTGATTCCACAGACTATTGAACCAATGGGAAAAGAATAGCAAACAGATCAAACGCATTTTTACGCAAGATTTTTTTGAAGCATACATTCAAAATTAGCGACACACAGACAAAAAAAATATATAAAAAAGTAGGCAGCAACACCCACGCATTGCCTATGGATAACATTGAAATTAAAATAGAGAATGTAAAGAAAAGATATATTAGCCAAAGAGAAAAAATATGTCAACAGCTGCACAAATAGGAAATAGTTCAAATTGTTTATTCGGTTTCGAATAAGAATTTCAAAACTTAACAGTTTTCATATTTATTTATTAATTAGCATCGCTAAAGTATTTGTTATCACAGTTTAATATGAAACAATATGCAACGTGAAATAAAGCTGTAAACAAAACTCAACTCGGATGTTAATGTCGTTGGAAGAAATTCACGTGTCTGCGTTGTTGTTGCTTTACTTTGTTGATTACTAGTAGTAAGGAAGTATGATTCCTTTAGCAACATTTGTCAGCGGAAAACTTAAAGTCAATGAAAGGTATCAGTCATGGATTTTAGGCCTTTGTACTAACAGCGAAAGCTTTCCAATTTACGCTATTTTACGATTTAAACTAATACTGCACTTTGCACAATTTACTAGAAAATTAACTTTTATTTTTATCTCACTTAACAAATAGGGCAAAGGAAAGTGTTTTTTTGTTTTTAAATTTGGTTTTAAATTTTAAAATTTATTTTCGTGTTTATTTTTTATTGTTAAGCCAAACCAACTGAATTAATAAAGGCAAAAACACACACAACGAAATTCAATTAAGCTTATTTTTACATCTGTTTAAGTTTCCGAGAAAGCTTTAAAAATGTCAATGGCTCATGACATATGCTAAAATCTGGTTTTACGTTCTTATTTTAAATGTTCGTTATTCGAATTTATTTTGTTTGTAATACATTGAAATACGATTTTTATATTTACTCGTTCCGGCACTGTTGCTGTACGATTCAGGTTCTTATTCAAAAGGAACTAAAATCACGGCGAAATTTCAGCTATCTGTTGCTCGAACTGTTCTGATAAGAAACTGTTTAATTGAGCTAATGTAAGCAGCAACCAAAATTGTTCTCATATCCGTATGTATGGAGAATATAATTATGGACGTCACATGTTACTGCAGCTCGGAAGCACGCAATCAACTGTTTTTATTGAATTGACAGCTGGATGCTATTAGTATATATAATCGTGTAAATAATATATAAAAGATATTTTAACCGATTTCAAATGTTATACATAACAATAACTAAGTCCGGCTTGAAACGGGTTTAAAGAAATTCATATATTTTAAAGTATAATAAAATCGTACAAATCAAATGTCAGCATCATAATTAATTTTTTTTTTAAGAAACCTTAACCTCTAGAGTGTAAATTGCAAATTTAATAGATTCGATACTTTCTAATTATATGAGGTAATGTATAGTTGAATTTGTAATCCTTTTACTTGTTGCATTTATAATCCTTTTATATACCAGTTATTTTTAGATTAATTGATAATAATTTATTTATTAGTTGTACTTAGATAACAGTTGAATGCTATATGAAACCCACATAAGTAATGACAAGTTGATAAGGCAGCTAATAGTTAATATATATGTGCCATAGACGTTTCAATTACATTGGAAAATACAATGTGATTATAAAGAGGTTACGATTCTCATATGATATGATATCAGCTGTATATTGAAGAGCAATGATCAGGCCTTATCAGAAGATTCTTTATTAATTGTAATTGGGCTTGAGTGTCGAACTTGACAGCAAATTTTTCAAAACGGGAACACGACCTTCAAGTGGAGGTTTAGTTCCTAGTTTTCCTATCTCTTTAAAATGTATGTGCACGTGCTTGAATCGTTTAATATAATAGTTTCGATTTGAAATCGACTTGTCTATTAAATATTAGTGGCAAACGGCTTTAATCTTGTTTTATAGTATGTATATGCATTATTATAGAAATCGTCTAGGCTTGTTATCAACAGATTTAACTACTGCTGGGAAAGGCTTATCATAATGCACTCAAACGTACTTTGAACGCTAGACCTTTCAACATTTTCCAAGAAATAGGGGCACAGCGCTTTTAGCGAGTCAAGGAAAAGTAGGCAAAAAATATAAATAAAATCAAGCAAGTATTAAATTGAATTGAGATCCCGGAGACGGGCCTCTCCCCAGGCCATTGATAACCCGCTTGAACTTTTGTCGTTCTACGTTGTCAGTTGTCAGTAGTCGTTTGTCGTTGTCAGCTATTATTGTTGTCAACATTTGGGCAATGTCGTTACGTGTGATAGCGATGCACAGGCGCATCTGGAATCGGACACACCTCTGCCAAAACAACTCGTAAAATTCAGCAAATGGACTCAAGTGCAGTCAGTACAATATATATTATATAGCTCAGTATGTATGTGAGATTAAACATAAAAAGAAATGAATAGAAACGTATGTGTGCCTTATGATTTTTGCAATCCTCCTTACGCAAATACAAGCTCGGTCTATGAACTTCAACTTGAGCAATTGTGCCTTACAAATCAACTTGCTTGAGGTCATGGTTGACTAATGTCGAGAATAGCAAATGATTATTTCAAGAACAAATACAAGATTATACTGCCCTATGTTATGGAAAACCACAAGCTTTTTTATTTATAAAGCGCTGATACGGTTAATGAAATAATAAACTTTTTGAATAAACATAAGAAATATATATATATATATATATTTAATAAATGGGTAATACAAAGTAAGCTCTCAAGTACCCTGTAGTCATAAACTCTGATTTACAATGATATAAATACACATAGATATACAAACTCTTAGTTATTCATTTATTTACTTCCAAAGTAAATTTAAAAATTGTTTCTCCCCGGTTGTATTTGTTTCTAGTATCTAGGGACCCAACCGCCTCTAGTTGTTCTTTTATATATCTCAGCACAAGTACCATAAAGATTACTTTGAATAGAGCACAAGCGTGCTCAATTGGCACTAATAAATGCCGAGCTAGGTAGACTATGTATGGCGCGTTTATCCTCCATACTATGTATGTACATATATATATTAATTCTCAATTTTTTGTGCATCTAATAAGGAAATTACTTGTTAACGTACGCGTGTGCGTCTACTATATGTGGGCGTGTATTTTTCGTGGTGTTTTTAGTCAATGGACGAGTATTTACCACTCACTATATGAGCTGTCTATCAAGAGAGGAATCAACAATGTACTCCATAAATAATTCACTGTACGCATTTACATACATGTATATGTATATAAATAACCGAAAATAGGCGCACCATATCTGAGTAACTGATATCGATAGGACCATAAAGCGATTTAGCGGCGCATATAACACCAAATGTCATAATGCGATATGGTATGGGACCTGGCGATAAGCCATCAATGATTAGTGCAATATCTCATAGCTCATGTTTACATACATATGTAAATACTATGTATGCATACATGTGTACATATACATACGTACATAAATATATATATATAAATATATTTCTGAAAGCTGTTAAGTATTGATAGTATTTGGCACTGGGGCTTGTTTTGGTTAAGCTGATAAGCATTGAAAAGATTACGAAGTTTGTCTTATTGCCTACTCTTGATTTCGTTTCCATTGCCTACAAATATTTAATCATGAGAAAAATCAACAAACCTTGACGTTTTATGGACATATTGATCTATGATATGATCTAGGTGTTACACGTAATAACTGTCGGCTATTTTTTCTTATTTGTAAAGCGTTATCACTTGTCATTTACTCTGTAAAAGTTGATTAAAGGTATTCGCTTGGCTGGATCTGTAAACATCACAATTATTATTATCTGACTTGGAGGAAACAAAAACATATTTTTGCTGCTGATTTCAGCTGCTAAATAAGTCACATGTTTCACACATTTTAGTCTAAAAAAAATTAAATAAATAAATGATTACAGCTAGATCTGAATTGGCTCTGATCCACAGTTTAAGTTGCACTGCATACAACGCTGGCAAGCAATGCTTTCAAAACTGTTTGTAAAGCTTTCGCGAGGAGCTTTTGTGCTGCGCGTGAGTTCAGCTTTGACCGTTACAATTCAAAAGCGAATGTTTGCCTACAATTTATACAGTACAAGCGAAGGCAATTTTATTTTATCTTCTCAACTAACAAATATGTTTATGTTAATTCTAATACGAATATATAAAAATTCTTGCAACTTCAGGCGATAAAATAAATGTTAATTATAATTATTGGGTCATTTTGATTGTTTCGGCAATTTCGACAAAGAAGTGCAGAAGTGTACTATCATGTCAAAATTAATTTCATGTTTATAAGCA